GTTCGCTACATCACTGTAAGTATAGTAGTTAGTAGTTACCTATAGATAGCTGATGGAGTTCGTTTTTCCTCTTTTTGAGGGTAGGGAGTCCGTTGGACTCCCGTGTTCAAAAGTGGATTTCTATCCCTGCATACGTCACCCTAGCTTACAAATACAGTGTCATAGCTTACACGTACGTCTCCTGTCTGGTAGACCTAGTTACCGCCGTCCTAGATTCACGCTGACTGGATCCCAGCTAGCTGCAGCGTCGGTTTACTTTGCACGCGTATTTAAAATTTAACTGCGCGCGCTCTCGTCTCTATAGTTTCACGCACCTGCCGTTATGTCAACACGTCGGTCTGCGACGACGATGAGTTGCCGTGTCAATACGGGCGGGCGCGCGCGCCATTGCTGTGTTAACACGCGCGCTAATGAACTGTCGATTCACGCAAGCGTCTTCACGTTGTCGCGACGACGCGTTGCTATGACAGCGTTGCTATGATGGCGTTGCTATGACGACGCGAACCGATGCGGCACGTTGCTATGGCGGCGCGAGCTGGTGCATTCGGTTGCTACGATGACCGGCGCTATCGCACAACGCGGCAACGATGACGCGAGTCGACATGCGGCATCGCGCGTAGCGTTGCTACGACGACGCCGCACGGCGTCGCCGTGACGACGCGGAGCTTGCAGCTTCCTCTTCTTGCAGGACTACATGGACGACATTCACGGCAAGGAGATCAACCTGATGAAGACGACGGTGAAGATTCCGGGACAGAAGCCGCGCGGCTCGCAGAACGTGCGCACGAACCCGACCAGTGGGCCGGCGAACGGGCTCGCGAACGAACTACATCAGCTGTCTATAGGTAACTACTAACTACTAGTGATGTCACGATCATCGATTATACTCCATCAGCTATCTATAGGTACTACTAACTACTATACTTACAGTGATGTAGCGAACGAACTCCATCAGCTATCTATAGGTAACTACTAACTACTATACTTACAGTGATGTAGCGAACGAACTCCATCAGCTGTCTATAGGTAACTACTAACTACTATACTTACAGTGATGTAGCGGTCTGCAGCAAAATGAGGGAGTCCGCAGTTTGCAGCATCACCTTACATGTAAGCTAGGGTGGTAGGTATATGTATAAGCTAGGGTGGTAGGTATATGTATAAGCTACGTTGACATACATGTAAGCTAGGGTGGTAGGTATATGTATAAGCTAGGTTAACATACGTGTAAGCTAGGGTGGTAGGTATATGTATAAGCTACGTTAACATACGTGTAAGCTAGGGTGGTAGGTATATGTATAAGCTAGGTTAACATACGTGTAAGCTAGGGTGGTAGGTATATGTATAAGCTAGGGTGGTAGGTATATGTATAAGCTAGGGTGGTAGATATATGTATAAGCTAGGGTAACGTACGTGTAAGCTAGGGTGGTAGGTATATGTGTAAGCTAGGGTGGTAGGTATATGTATAAGCTAGGGTGGTAGGTATATGTATAAGCTACGTTAACATACGTGTAAGCTAGGGTGGTAGGTATATGTATAAGCTAAGGTGGTAGGTATATGTATAAGCTACGTTAACATACGTGTAAGCTAGGATGGTAGGTATATGTATAAGCTAGGGTGGTAGGTATATGTATAAGCTAGGGTGGTAGGTATATGTGTAAGCTACGTTAACATACGTGTAAGCTAGGGTGGTAGGTATATGTGTAAGCTACGTTAACATACGTGTAAGCTAGGGTGGTAGGTATATGTATAAGCTACGTTAACATACGTGTAAGCTAGGATGGTAGGTATATGTATAAGCTACGTTAACGTACGTGTAAGCTAGGATGGTAGGTGAGTCGCCCATCATCGGTCAGCGTCACGTATTTCTTCTTCCACTCCTTGTTAATGGCTTTACTCCGTTTGTACAAGTAACCCTGAAAAAGAGATAAATTTTATGCGTAATTACGACCGACCTGGCACGCCAACTCCTACTGTGACTACGAGACAGTGTCTACGATTTATTGTACCCTGTGGTGACGCCTTGATGTGCTCCCCGTGAGATAGTCAGGGCCATTATTAGACCGTGACAGTATATAATAACAGAAGTGAATTATGACACATTATTAATCTTTTTTAGAAACGTCTGCAGTTCTTTTTGTCGCCAACACTACATTTACTCTCCGTCGTTTTTTCCTCCTCCTCGTGTTTTCTCTTCCCAAGATTGTAATATAACGCCTAGCTTGGTGCGCGCTAGGATCAATTAGTGGCCGAGTTATAAAGAGCTGAAGGAAAATATGATGAAGGTCAAGGTCAAGTCAATGCCAAATAAAGGTGCAGTGCACCTCGTTTCGTACGCGAACAGCACCTCCCGCAAGATGTGTAAGTATACCAACGTTTGGTCGCGCTAGAGTTAAATCAATTTTTTAGTGCTTGGCCGACGTTACAGAGCGAAGGAATATGATCAAATTAACGATTAATAGGATGAATAATCAAATAAAAAACAACATGAAAACAATTAATAGATTAATAATGCTATTATTGATTCACCCTCGCTGATAGATATGATACCAACACAGTACGACTATAGTGCCAATATTGTACAGAGTGAGCGAGAGCGAGAGATACAATGTTGTACAATACAGCAACACGCAGTAGAAAACATGTTTACAATGAAAAGTCCGCATATCAGTACAGTATACGTGGCCAGTACACAACAAAAAAAAAGCTGTACAACATGGTACAATAAGTACAATATTGTACAATACAGGACATTAAAATACAATGTTGTACAATACAGCACACCAGTACAATATGTTACAATAAAGTAAATTTTAGTACAATGTAGTAAAACATGGTACAATACATCGCGATACAGCAGCACGATACAATATAACGGTGAGCGTACGCTGGCGCCACCTACCTGCTTGATGGGAATTGCACGTCGCTTCCCATCATGTCGCCGGAGCCATTCTTCGTCTTCTTGTCCTCCTTCTCCTCCTTCTTCGAAGGCTGTCCCACAGAGAGAGAAAGAAAGAAAAGAAAGAACACAGATGAGAGCGAGCGAACATGCAAGCAATTAATTGATTGTACACTCCGTGGACTAACGATGTTTCCCCCCGAGCAATTATTAAGAATTCGCGGAGACCGACGGCGACGTCGTGTGTGAAAACTCGGCGGCGGGTGAGGTGGCGGGGTCCGGCGGGGGTCATCGGGAAGTTGCACGAGTCACGGGGTGTAGCAAAGGAACGATCGCGCGCGAGCTAACGGACGCCCCTAGCCCTGCAAAACACCGATGGCACTCATATTTAATCGTCTAACCACATAAAAGCACGATTTCTCGAGAACTCTCTTTTTGCCCCGCGCACTGATATATGACTATAATAACGCACAAAAAATAGTAAATAACCCCGAAAATCAAATACTAGTTATACCGGCGGTCTGTGTGTGTGTGTGTGTGCTGTGTGTGTGTGTGTGTGTGTGTGTGGTGTGTGTGTGTGTGGTGTGTGTGGTGTGGTGTGTCCGCTTGTGTGTGTGTGTATGTATGTATGTGCTGCTGTGTCTCCGTGTGTGGTGTGTGTTGTCCGTGTGTGTGTGTCCGTGTCGTGTTTGTTTGCTTCCGTGTGTGTGTGCTGCGCTAGTGTCTCGCACCTTCGTCCTCCTCCTCCTCCCGCGCTTCTCCGGCTCTTCTCGCGTCCATCGCGCTCGACGTCGTTTCTCAGGTGACTTGAACGCCGCAGCTCTCTCTCACGTCTCGCCAATTCCGACGGTCGGGAAGAATTCGCGTTCTTCTCCGCCGTTGGCCGTATAACGACCGGGGCGACGCAGCCGCAGGCGGCACGCGGGCGAGCAACGCGAATGCACGATCATTAATTTTGTATGCAGGACGAGTGGACAGACAGAAAGGCAGACAGTTAGGCAGATAGATAGACTGACGGACGGACAGACAGACAGAAAGACAGAGAGATAGACGGACGAAGCAAGACCAGACCAGACCACATACGCGCAGGCGCGGGACTGGCGACGGACAGAACAGACAGAAAGACAGACCACGTGTAGGCAAGAATAGAACTGTAGACGGACAGAGAGATAGACGGACAGACAGACAGACAGACACATAGGCAGGCACACGGATGGATGGACAGACAGGCAGAAAGACAGAACGTTAGGCAGATAGACGGACGGACGAACAGACAGACAGAAAGACAGACAGTTAGGCAGATAGACGGACGGACGGACAGACAGGCAGAAAGACAGACAGTTAGGCAGATAGACGGACGGACGGACAGACAGGCAGAAAGACAGACAGTTATGCAGATAGACGGACGGAGAGACAGACAGTTAGGCAGATAGACGGACGGAGGGACAGACAGACAGAAAGACAGGCAGATAGACGGACGGACGGACAGACAGACA